TTTCGTTACGTAGTTTAGTTTGGTATAAGTACACGGGTTACGTACTTAACACTTTAGTCCAAAACTTTAACCTTTAACCTTTACTTACAACGAAAATTAATATTCGATTCTCTCTCTCTCTCTCTCTCTCTCTCTCTCTCTCTCTCTATTGACCATATGTCGCATGTGTTTGAATCACAATGGGTAGATTGAGCACGTGGTCAGTATTTTCGGATAACATATTTTATTTTTTAGAAATTTATTAAAATATATTTGAAATTTGAACTATTTAACATTTTACTATAGGTGTATTTTGATAAATTTCAATACCTTTTTTGATACATCATCTTATGGGCTATTTGAAATTCGATCAAAAGAATGATGAGCTATTTAAGATTTGATAAAATAAAAATAAAAATAAAAATCAGGGTAAGATATTTTCAGTGTGATAAGTTTTATCTAAGATGAAAATGCTTAGGTAATTTACTGGGGTTAGTTGATCTGCATGGTGAAAGGCGTCAATGATATGTTCATTCAGAAAAGAAAACAAAATAACAAATAAAATTAAAAAAAACTCTTGATTCGTATACATTCCGTTTCTAATGATGGAGACATCCGTTTATATTGAGAGATTAATGAGATTAGGGCTGTATAAGGGTTATGCCCATGTCGGGAACCTAACCCAACTAGGTCAAAGTTGGACTTGCCATAGGACACGACCTCGCGTGGTTCAGGTCCGGGTCAAGATATACAACCCAGCTCTAGATCAAATATGTGTTTATATATGGGGAATGATTTCATGTAACAATTGTATAATAATATGATGAAACCACACTTCTTGGAAACCATGTTTGTAGCATTTGTATGATTCCAAAAATTATACATACCATCTCTCCATCCCAAAAGTTAATTTTCCAAAAAACAAAATTTGATTTGCATCTTAGATATTGTTAAAATGAATCCCCTATAAAAATGAATCTAGCCCACCCATTTGATGAATTTCTAGATGTAGGCTTTTACAAACTCAAAACCATTTTTTTTTTTTCAACATTGTTCATCTAATGATAACAAATATATCTAAAAAATTTGACAAGGGAAAAAAATCATTCTAAAGCCTAGATCTAAATATTTTAACAAAATAAATGGCTTATGTTAATTGGGTTAAAAAACTGCTTTCTAGAGTATGTTTTCAATTTTTATTTTTTTTGTGATTATTTATTAGAATGAAAAGAGTATATATTTAAAAATTAGTATCAAACAAATGGTACTAATATAATTTTTGAAGATTGTTTCATTATATTACTATATAACTATTGCATGAAATCATTCTTAAATTATATGTTTAATGCTCTTTCTGGTTGATCTAGATGACCTGAAATTGCCCATATTGCCTTGGGCCCGATGCACTAGGTCCATTTTAAGGGTCCCGACATGGGCCCGCAGGTTGACCGAACCCGATTGTTACCGCAAATTGAGATTAACATCCGCAACGTGTGTTTGAAATCTGCAAAATGAGATTAACATATTTTTGGAGCTATGTGCCTAAAGGCTTGTGGCGTTTGTTCAAACTGGTAAAATGGGATTCTTCGATCAAAGTAAAATTGGCTGTCGCAAGTTAAAAATTTATATATCAACCTTATACAATCGAATTGACTTTAGAAAAGAGCGGTTCGATATTGGAAAACACTCCAAGTGATCATCTCAACCAATGGTTTAAAAAGCGGATCGGTGACCTGGATCGGGCACCGTAAAAATCGATCCGGATCGACGAATCGACGATTCAGATCGGAAATCGGGTGAATCGGTCATATTAAAGCTTCAAAAAAATCCGAAAAAATTATTAAAATTCGTTATAAATTTTGTTTTTTAGGAATTCAATAAAAAATGAGGGTACTCCATTAAGAATTTTCATTTCTTTGCATGAATATGCGAATATCGATATGTTCTTTCCCTGTATAAACTACTATTTACCATTTAATTTACATCACACAAAAGGATAAACATAGAATTATCATGGAATAAGTATATCAACATACATGGACTACAATAAAGCATACAATTAGTAACATACGATCTAAAAATAAAATGACAGACGACGTCGTTCTTCTTCTTGGTCACGCTGGTGCCATTGATTGAATTCGTTTGACAATTCATTGATTTGATTTAAAAGCGAATCATTGATATTAGCAGGCGTCTGACTATATCCAAATCCCTGAGTGTTCTGTTGTGTTCCCAATCTAAAATTCCCGAAGCTTATCCATCCTTCATGCTCACCTACACTGTCGTGCTCATCCCTATCCCTGTTGCTGTTGGGACTCGATATATGAATAGTATGACTGGGATAGGGTGGCCTTGGAATCATCATCTCTATCATTTTCCCTTAGACCCCCTTTCCCACTCTCCTTCATTAGGTGCAATATCACCGACATCTCCGACGAATTGTGGATACGTTGGCTGACTGCTTCCTCTTTCATGCTGCTCATCACCTTCTTCAAGATCTTCCTCACCGATAGCCTCAAAGAACGCTCTTTTGTGCAACACTGACTCCTCCTCTTCTACTACCCATTGGTCTGTTGTGTCTGTGACAAATATTGTGTCTAAGTCTATCGGCCTCTAGTCTTCGAGCTTCCTTATTATTTGTCGCTCTCGGAGGTTTAAGTTGTAATGAACGTAGACTAGTTTGTGAAGCTTCTCCGAAGCGAGTCGATTTCTCCTAGTAGTATGCAACCATTGGAATGTACTCCAGTTGCGCTCACAGTCAGTAGCAGAACATGTTTGGGAGAGCAGCTTGATTACTATCCTCTTTAGGTGAGGTGCATCAGTACCATATATCTCCCACCATTCAGCTGTATTAAAATGCAAAAAGCATTGTAAAGGCAAGAACAATTCATAAGATTAAATATATGAATGAACAAAATATTTGTTGGGGGATAACCTAGATCCATCTTAGTTCGAGAATTCCTGGCAAGTCTAGTTCTGAGGATCCTATAGCATCCCTATACATAGCAAGCTAAAACAAATATATTTCGTTTTAGTACATTATTCCTCACAAACATAACAGCTCAATAAAGTTCTTACCCAAACATTAAATAATACCTCTTGTACTGCTGCTCCTTGGTTTCGATGGCTTCTCTCCAACCTGTCAATAATGTATCTGACCCCTTCCATAATCTTGTAAGGATGTTCAGGTGTCAAATAGAAAAATTTTGGGTTGAAGAAGTAACCTGAAAATATATCGATAGAGAAATGTCATTTAAAATTTCATAAAAAAATAATTTACAATGAAACATTCTAATGATATAAATATATATTTATCTGCATAATGAATTGGACGTTCAAATTTGGTGTTCCACCTCCATTCTATAATCTCGATCACTTTGCTAGCAAAACTACACTTCTCCCCAATAGCTGATTTCGCTCTTTCAATACCTTTATAAAGGATGCTCATGGTAGCTTTCTTGTCAGCATCCACCATTCTTCATATCGTGACCAAAGGGGTAGTAGCCTATACGACACTGGAACATCGAGACTAGAACCTCCTATTTGAGACTGTCGTCCACTTTTATACCGATACTGGACTTCGAGAGGCGGTCATTTAACCACTCTTCACAGGTAAACAATATCTTTAATGCACCTTCAGATTCTCGAATAAAGTCCACAGCTAAGTAATCAGTCACAAAGCGGGTTATGACAGGCCTGATTATCTTTTTTTTCTTAGAGTGT